TTGCATACATCCAGCTCCCAGTGCACTTTTCAGGCGCCTTCCTACCTCAAGGGCCGATGCGACCTGCTGCGTGGTGTGGTGCCGTGGGCGGGCCCGGAGCCGGTCTACTGTGTCCGCCTTCCTACTCCATGCTTCCAGGTACGTCTTCCGACTGGCGAGTGCAGTCGCGCATATGATTGTTCCCCTCTTCAGCGCGTACCCTGCTGCACGGAAGTTGGGCGCAACGAGACTTTCACGAAATTCTACTCGCGAGTGCGTTGTGAGATGCGGGAAGGGCGCTGCGCGATCGACTCGGTGGCCTGTGCAATCGAGTTGCCTTGCTCGATGCTGTCCGATGGTCACCCAGCTCAGGACCACAGAGGTCTGGGCGTCTCGTGGAACAAGTCCCCGACGTCGCGCCGAGTTCGTTTCCTTTCTTGGGGGCGCCGGAGGGTTCGAGACGCAGAAGAGCTGCCTGCTGGGAGGAGTCGAGATGTCCAGAGGCCAACGGCTCGAAGATGTCGAGTCGCCAGAGGTTTGGGCTTCGGGCCCAGGACCCTCTCGGACCGGTGCCCGTTCTCCGGCCGTAGATTCCTCCAGCGCTTCGATCTCTCCGCCGGCCAGCTGGGAGATTCCGGCCACTTTCCGACCTAACCGCAAAACGGTGGCGCTTGCTTGCGTGCTCGCTGGGGCATTCTTGGAGCCTCGCGGGGCCTCTTTGGGACACCTTGGAGGCCTCTTGGGGTCTCTTGGGGCGATCCTGGGGGCCTCTGGGGGCCTCTTGGGGGCCTTCCGGCAGTATCGGAGGCCATCATTCGGGAAGGAACCAGCATGTAGATTCGGATTCCCCCTCTTGGGGGTGATTCGGAGCCTCTAGAGCGCTTTTGGGGGGCATCTTGTGCTGTCTTGGAGCCGTATTGTGCGGTTTTTGGGCCGTCACGGGGCTGGAGCCTCTTGGGCTGTATTTGACTGAGCTTTGAGGCCTCTTGAGCCGTCTGCGGCAATCGGAAGCTCGAAAAGGCGGTGACGTCAAAATCCTGCAAAACCATTGCGACATCCACGACATTGAGGCTTTGGTGTCTCTCTTGAGGCTGCCTGGGACTATCTCGGCAATCTCCTGAAGTATTCTGGAGTCTGTCTTTGGGCCATCTTGGAGCGTCCTACCTACTCCTCTCGGTTCTATCGCCCTGGTGGAGCTCCCATGTAACCTTTGCGGCGCTGATAGGGCGCTCTGAAGGGCTGGGCGACCCCTCCAGGAAATACCGGCATCCGTGGCGAGAGTACCAAGGGGGTATTATTCGCCCCCCCGCGCGCGCGAAGAAGAAATATTCCCGGGGTCCCACAAAGCGGGGCGGTGCCCCAGGGTGTGTGTCAGGGTGTGTGTGTGTGTGTGTGTGCGTGTGTGTGAGAGAGAGAGAGAGTTCGATCGGTTTTTGTACCGAACCGCCCAACACAGATGCCCCCCAGCCGCTGGCAGCTCCCGATAGGTGCCGATAGGTGGGGCATGAGGGGGAATCTGTTTGAAGCACTTCGGTGCACCAACGGATCGAACTCATGCCCCCGCTCAGGGTCACCCCTCTTTTTTGGTGTATCCGGATATTGTACGCCTCTTACCAAACATTGTCGGGTGCAGCTTTGGTCAGCCAGGCAATACTCATCTGGTTGCTGACCGAAAGAGCTGCGATGCCCACCATATTGGGGATGCGTGTATGGCATTGGGGGGGAACTCGCCGAGTTCGGCGAGTTTCGCAGGCCCCGAAAGGCCCCGCACATGCTCGCTTTTGCTGTGGCTGGGTTGCACGGTGGGGCGCAACGCGGGCATGGCAAGCGCCGCGCGCTTGGTTTTGCAGGCGTCTGGACGCGTGGTCCGGCGCTTAGACATCTGAGGAGACACTGTGCGCGAGCTCTGGTGCGAAACTTCGCTTGCAGGTCCTTGCAGGGTCCCAGCGCCATGTCGATTCCGAAGTCATCACGGGGTGGTAATGGTAACGCGTGGGGGGGGCCTCAGGAGTCCCAGGTGCTAAAGTCTCTCGGGACGTCGTTAGGTACACCGTTGTGGGCCAGCGCAGGATGTCGTATAGAGGTGCCCATTCGGGCACTTGGTTTGCTCCAGGCTCGATTTGGCCCCTCAAAACGCCGACGTCGAGCGGCCACTCCCCCGGAAATCCCGCCCCGTTCCCCGGGACTGGCTTCCCATCCTGAGTCGTGTTTTGACGGTCCCGGGGCCTGGCGAAGGCCGACAATCACGAAGCTTCACGCCGTGATTCTGTCCAGAAAATCGAGCATGTCTGGGTCTAGGAGGCCTCCGGAAAACGGCTCGATGCGCACCTGCGCCGGCCCCGCACCCTGAGCGAGGGCCCAGGATATGACACATCGGGCATGTACTTCTTCTGACGTGCGGGCAGGCAGCGCCTCTGCCTCTTGCCAAGGGCGCCCGCGGGAGTGGAGTGGAGTGGTTCAGTGGCAACTCGTGGGAGCCTTGCCGACGTCGCCGCTGCATCGCCGACGTCGCCAATGCATCGCCGATGCGAGGGAGGAGATCCTTCGGCCCCATCCACTCCGACCCCGCATAGGAGGCCTCTTACGGATTCGTTCCGGACCGTTCCAGGACGCTCTCAGAGCGTTCCGCAAGGCGCGGCACATGCTTCAGAACTGCCGGACCTCGGAGATCCACGACTTCGGTAGCAAACTTGGGGAGGATGGTGTGTCCTCAGAGTTTCGCCTGTGGAGCGCACTGGCGTGCCGTGGCGTCTGGTAGTCGACGAGGAAGCACCGATCCAGCGCCGCTTTGCATCGACCCAGCGTGTACCAGCGAAGAGTGCCTTGTGTTCCCAGAACCACCGTCAACTGCGCAGCGGCCAGCCAGGCGTGCACCACACGGCCCGTCGTGCGAGCACCGCCGGAGAGGAAGCCCTACGCGCGCGACCGTCCAGAATTTTGCCATTCAGTGTCATTTCTTTCTCTCTCTCTCTCTCTCTCTCGCTCTATCTCTCTTTCTACCTGCCCTTTGCGGCCTCCGTGCTCGCCCTCAGTTCTCGTGCGTGGCCTTCTGCCTGCCTGGCTGCTTGGGGTCAGGGGGCTGCTTTTGGCAGGGGCGTTCGGATGCAACTCCCGGGAGGTTGCATTCAGCATCGGCGCTGGTAGAATTATCCGTGGTCGAAGGACTCGGGTATAGCCAGGACCCCAGGTAAGGGGACCCAGTTAGTGGTAGGGCCCTGGAGCCCCTAAATTTGCCAGAATCACTAAACCAGGCCTGCCGTAGCTGGTGTTTTTTCGGGTGACGGCAGTTTCGGTTAGTGGAATGGGGCTGGAGGGCGTCCCCCAGTACACATCACCATACCAGGTCCCACTAAACCCAGTTCTGCCCACGCCCGAAAGACGGCCGAACGTTGCTTACTTCCGTTTAGCCTGGTTCAATCCAGCCAAATCCCATGTGTTTTCCATCTTTCGGGTTTACCCTTAATCGTGGGGGGTAGGGGTAGGGTTCGCATCTGGCCCCCTACCTAATCGATCGTATGAAGACCTCCCGGAAGCTGCGCTCGAGTGAGGGTGGAGCGGGCTGCGGGTCAGGTGGACTACCTCGCGGACGGCGACGGGGTGCGCGACAGCACGGTCCACTCTTCCCCATCAGCGGCAGCCGCGCTCCCCGCATGCATGTAAGCAGCTCGAGGCACGCTCGACAGCTTCCGGGAAGCTGGAGACGGCGAGCGTGGGAGTCGGTCGGGCGGCAGCGAGGGCAAGAAACGGGGGGGGGATCGAGAACTGCAGGAAAGTGGCTTCGAAACTGCCCCGAAGTTGCCACTGCGGTCCCAGCAGGTGCACGAAAGGTGCTCGTTTCTTCACCCCACGTTTGCTGCCCAAGGTTCACGAACTCCCGACGGAGACGACGCCCTTCCTAGCCTGCCGCTCAGGAAGGCGAGGTTGTTTGCGTGAGAGTGCCCCTGTCCTCCACAGGACATGACTCGCTGACCTCATCGTCCTCCGCCTCGCCCCGCCTCGCGTGCGCTCCCCGCACCCCTGCCCGCCCTCTGCCCCTTCTTTCCGTGTGACTCTTGCCAGTCGGGAATGCGCGAGGGGAGCGACGAGGTCCTCCTCTTTGCGCTTCTTGCCATCCTCCGTAGCCGGCTTGGCTTAAGGCTGCCGTGATCCAGGAGATGAGCATGAGCGTTGGCACAACCGCGGCCGTCGCCGCCTTGGCAGCCGCCGGAGCAGTTGCTATTTTTCTCCTGGGTCGCCACTGGGCGCCTCCCAGACCCGATGATGATGACGAGACCATCGCAGTTCTGCCGCCCAGCCCACAGCCGCGAGCGCCCTCCGCTGTAGACTTGTCTGGTGCTCGGCTGAAGCGCCTCGCCTCCGCGGGCTTTACTACGCCGCTGGAGCGCCGCTCGGAGGACGGCGTCTGCATCATCAGCCTGGGAGGTGCGGGCGAGGCGGCCCATGCTTGGGGCACGAAGGCGGCCGAGCATCGCCTCTATCCTGCGGCCGTGATCGCGCTGGACGAAGCGCTCGACGCGGCGGAGAAGGACGAGGCAATCCGGGCCGTGGTGGTAACCGCCGAGGGCAAGTTTTTTTGCAACGGGTTTGACCTCAAGTTCTTGCAGGAGCACCCAAGCCTGATGGACGACGTGCAGCGCGCGACAGAGATGCTGTGCGCTCGCATCCTGCGATTCCCCAAGCCCACCATCGCGGCGGTGAATGGCCATGCATGCGCAGCTGGCGCGATGCTGATGCTGTGTTTCGACGAGATCGTCATGAACAGCGAGCGCGGCTTCTGCTTCGTGCCAGGCATCGACCTGGGCCTCACCTACTCGCCGGGCATGTCAGCGCTCATGTCTGCGCGGCTGCCCTTCGCGCTGCGCCACGGCTTCATCGTCATGGGCGAGCGGTTGACCGCGCTGCAGCTGGCCCAGCACGGCGCCGTCAGGCCCGCGCCTGCGGCGTGCGTGCTGTCGGACGCGGTGGCCCGAGCCGTCGCGCTCAAGTCGAAGGCGGCGCACGGCCACACGATGAGCGCGATCAAGAGCACGCTCTACCACGAGGCGCTCGCCGCCCTCGAGGTCGAGCCCGACGCCATCGTGGTCGATCCAACGTTCGTCCCGATTGAGGACCGCACAGCCCACCCCCCGCTGCCGACCTCGTGATCCAGGGGGGACTGGTGATCCAGGGGGTTCTTGCTGGGGGTGCGGCGGCTTCTTGGGAGAGGCCACAAGAGCACCCCCACCCTCGGCCAGGACCCCCTGGAACACCGGGTCGGGAGTGGGGCTTAGGGCTTAGTGGTTCTTGGAAGCGGCAGCGCCTTTCTGTTGTACCGTTCCAGATATTCCCCAAACAGTGCTTGCACTTAGGGGTTCTTATTCTTGTGCTTACGGCACACCGCCGACTCCATGGGGAACTGGCGGTTGTTGTGGGTTGCTCCTGAGAGTTTCTTGGGCGCCTGTGGTTTTTGGGGGGGCCTGTGGGGGGCCTCTTGGAGTTTCGTGGAGGGTCCTCACGGGTTTCGGGGGGCCGAAGGCTCGAGATGCGGGCTCGGGTTGCTCTCTGGCGCGGTTTGGCATGCACGTGTGTTTGAGCAGCCTGTTGCGGCGCGAAGTGCAATTCTTCGGCTGCGACAGGAAGATATGCGGGGGAAAGGAGCCTGTTGCGGCGCAGAGCGCAAGTCTTCGGTTGTTGCAGGATGTGGTGCGCGAGAGAAGGAGCAGGACGGGGGAGAACCCACGTGTCAATTTGGCATGCGTTTGTCAAAGGCATTTTGGAACCGTCGTGCGGGTCTCGGGGCGAGGTGTGGGGCGTGTCGAGGCCCTCTTGAACAATGCAGCGCGCGCTCGCCAAAGATGCCCCCGGGGCCCGCGGCAATCGCATCGACCGCAGTCATTTCTGCGGCCCGCATGTTCAATGTCCCCGGTGCAAGCTCTGGGGGATAGGCGAGAACCTACGTGTACTAACGACAGGCATGTATTCAAATTCAGAGGAAAAACGATAATCGAAGACGCCTACGGCGAATCACCGCCGCACCCTGCCTTTTTGGAAGCGCCTATGTGGCCGAACGTTGAGGCCAGACCTGCCAAGCTATCGGACCATGTGTTCCCCGAATCGGTTTGGAAAGCCTTCGAGGAACACGTGAGCATCTTGAAGGTCATATTGGCCGTCGGGAGGCCATTTTGACCCTTTCGGGGCCTTCTTGGAGGACGTCTTGGAGGGCTCTTGGGCCGTCTTGGAGGCCATCTTGAGCGCCTTGGTGTCCTCTTGGGCCGCCTTGGGGGCCTCTTGGGGCCGTCTTGGACCTCTTCGGCGATCTCTGGGGGCACTTGGGCCTTCTCAGGCCGTCGGAAGGCCGAACAAAAAGCAAATGCCACAATCCTTCCAAAAACCTTTCTGGAGGCCCTCTTGGAGGCCTCTTGGGCCGCCTTGGGCCATCTGAGGGCCATCTTCGGCCGTCTTGGTGGGCCCCTGGCCCGTCTGACGCCGTCGGAGTCTGTTTGTGGGGCCTCTCTGGGCCGACTTGGGGCCCTCTTGGAATGCTCAAGGGCCGTCTTGGAGGCCAGCTTGGGCGTCTTAAAGGCCTCTTGGGCCGTCTTGGGGGCCTCTTGGGGCCGTCTTGGGGGCCTCTTGGGCCGTTCTGGGGCCATCTTGGAGGCCTTGTGGGCGATCTTGGGGCGATCTCTGGGGGCTCTTGGGCCGTCTCGGGCCGTCGAAAGGCCGAAAAGAAGCAAATGTCAAAATCCTTCACAAACCATACGGAAAATCAATGTTTTTGGCCTTGTGTGACCTTCCTGGAGGCCCTCTTGGAGGCCTCTTGGGTCGTCTTGGGCCAGCTTCGAGCCAACTTCGGCCATCTTGGTGGGTTCCTGGCCCGCCTGACGCCGTCGGGAGCCGTCTTGGGGGCCTCTCTGAACCGACTTGGGGTCCTCTTGGGGCGCTTCGGGGCCGTCTTGGAGGCCATCTTGGGCGTCTTGGAGGTCTCTTGGGCGATCTTGGGGCCCTCTTGGGGCCGTCTCGGGGGCCCTTGTGCCATCAAGGGGCTCTCTTGGAGGCCTCTTGGGCGATCTTGGGGCGATCTTGAGGGCCTCTTGGGCCGTCATGATCCGTCGGAATGCCGAAAAGAAGCAAATGCCAAAATCCTTATAAAAGAAATAAATAAAATCAGATAAAGAAAATCAATAATTTTGTCTTCTTCGGACCCTCCTGGAGGACCTCTTGAAGGCCTCTTGGGTCGTTTTGGGCCGTCTTGGAGGCTTCTTGGGCGAACTTGGAGATATCTTGGATTCTCTTGGGCCGTCATGAGGCTGTCTTGGACCATCTTGGGCGGACTTGGAGGCCATCTTGGACCATCTTGGAGGCCATCTTGGGCCAACGTGGCCATCTTGGAGGCCATCTTGAGCCGTCGTGGAGGACTTTTGTTACAGATTGAGGTCCTTCCCTGGACCCCGGCGGGACGCGCCGGAGCCCCAGGTCGGGGGCGGAAAAGAGGGGGGTGATGACTAGGGGGGGTGGATATCATGGCGTGGGCCATGATATTTCCACAGACTTCATGGCGCCTCTTCTTATTTCATTACGTCCCTGGCCCCCCCGCTGGGCCGCACACATGCCGCTGGTCATGATTTGCACCCCCCACTCTTGGACACCCCCCTCTTGGCCGCTCCCGATCAGGGGGAGTTCTTTTCTTTTGGAACAGAACCAGAACCAAAACCGAAATCGTCTAGCACGCCAGGCACCCCTGTGATGAATCAACAGGGGGCGGCGGATCCTCGAGCCTTCGGCACATCCCGCCACTGCGCCTGGGTTGCGGGCCGGAGGCCGCGCGGATGTCGGACGGGATCTCGCCGGAGGCGTCTCGCGGGCGTTTGGTCGGGAGCCTCGAGACGGGGGTCAGTGCAGACGGGGGTCAGCCAGAGCGCCGGATCTTGCAGGATCCTTCAGCGCCAGGGTCGCATTGACCCGGGCTTGGGCGCAGGATCCTGCAGGATCCTTCGCATTGACCCGGGTTTGGGTGCAGGATCTTGCAGCATTTTGCAGGCCTGATTGACCCGGGTCTGGATTGACCCGGGTCAGAAGATCCCCGATTTGGGAAGCAGTTTTAGAACTTCCTGGGGGACTCTGAGGAGTGGTTTGGGGGCCTCGCGGAGCTCCATGGCAGCCTATTGGGGGTTGTTGGGACAGCTGGTCGGCAGCTCGGGGTAGAAGGCTCGAAGTGTCTGTGCGGGCTTCCCATCTGGACCCCCTCTTGGGACTGTCGCGGGGGCCCCCTGGGCCGTCGTGTTTTTTGTTTTTGTTTCTGACCGGTCGTAGGGCCCTCTTGGGTTGCCTGAGAGCCATCTGGGAGGCCTCTTAAACCGTCTTGGGGCGACCCAGGGGGCTTCTTGGGCTGTCTTGGGTGTTGTGATCGCAGGAGAGGCGAAGCTGCTAAACATACCGGTATTGGGGGCCTCTTGGAGCGTCTTGGTTGCTTATTGGGCCGTCTGGAGGCCAGCGTAAACGTTTTCGATCGATCATTCGGCGGCTCGTGGCCCTTTTGGGCCGTCCAGAGGGCCTCTTGGTGCCCTCCTGGCTTGTCTTGGGGCCATCTGTCCCCCCGTTTGGGTCCTCTGAGAGCCCTCTGTGGGTCCTTTTGGGCCGTCTTGGCGCGACCGACGAGGCTTCTTGGGCTGTCTGGGATGTTGTGACCGCAGGAGAGGCGAATGTGCTAAACACGCACGTGTTCCAATGGAAATGTGGCGATTGGTGCTCTTTGAGACCATCTTGGAACGCCTCTTGGGGATTTCTTGGGGCGTCTTGGGTGCCTCTTGGGCCGTTTGGAGGCCAGCATGGGCGTTGCGTTTTCGATCGGTCTATTCGGCAATTCGTGGCCCTCGTGGGCCGTCCGAGGGGGCCTCTTGGTGCCCTCCCGGCCTGCCTTTGGGGTCCCCTGCCGCCCCGTTTGGGTCGTCTGAGAGCATATCTGGGGAGCCTCTCGAGGCGTCTTGGGACGACCCTGGAGGCTTCTTGAGCTGCCTTGGGTGTTGCGATCGCAGGGCAGGCGAGTATGCTAAAAAAGCAAGTGTTCCCATGGAGATGGGGCGGCTGTTGCTCTTTGAGGCCGTCTGGGGACGCCTCTTGAGGATTTGCTGGGGCTTCGTGGAGGCATTTTGGGCCGTTTGGAGGCCAGCGTGGACGTTTGCGATCGATCGTGCGGCGGCTCGTGGCCCTCTTGGACCGTCCAGAGGGTCTCTTGGTGCCCTCTTGGCCTGTTTTGGGGCCCTCTGCCCCCCGTGGCGCGTTCGCCCGGTCCACGGGACCCCCCCCGCCTCCAAATCGACCCGACGGGACTCCCAGGGCAGGGTATTGGGGGAGGGGGAAACATTTCACACACCGATGAACCCCAAACGGTTGGCAAGGAACTGGGCCTGTGTGGCAGTCTGGCGGCTATGCTGTCGCCGTCGCCGCCCCGTCGCCGTCTCGTCGCCATCTCGTCGCCGCCCGTCGTCTGGGCCTGTGTGGCGGTCTGGCGGCTGTATTGTCGCCGACGCCGCATCGTCGCCGCCCGTCGTCTGAGTTTGTGTGGCGGTCCGGGCGGCTATGTTGTCGCAGTCGCCGCCGCGTCGCCGCCTCTTCGCCGCCCGTCGTCTTGGCCTGTGTGACGGTCTTGCGGCTATGCCGTCGCCACCTCGTCGCCGCATCTTAGCCAAATTTGTTCACCATGTAGACTGCATACCATACATTGTCAAACCTACATTGCACCATATAGGCTGCACCTCATAGATGGCTCCACATAGGTAGTGCAACCTGTATAGCACCGCGTAGAATGCACCACATGCATTGCACCACGTATGCTGTACCAGGTATTTTGCCCAATATTACTTGCGCGTACATCATGATATATATATATATATATGTATTGCGCCACATGTGCTGACCAACGCAGATTGCACAACATACACTGCACCACATATTGCACAACGCTGACTGCACCACATAGGTTGCACAACGTGTATATACCTATAGATTTGCATAGATATGGCACTACAGAGGTGGATCCACACAGATGTTACAACCCTTTATTAATTGCACCGCGAAGATTACACCTCACATGTTGCCCCACATACAGTGCACAACCTGGATTCTCCTTTCTAAAAAGAGAATAGACTCTACCCGCCCCCCGGGCGTT